GAATAAATATTCAGATGAAGGTACGTATCTTAATGAGAAAATTATCATTTGAATAATATATAATTCATACTAAAAATTCACGCATAAATATTAGCAAAATTTATCATTAGTCTTGGATTGCAAGAGTATCCATCTCTACAAACTATACTTAATCTTGCAGCAACAAACCAATGCCTAAATCTTCGTGAGAAAGCGCTTTTATATCTTGTCAAAAATCTTAAAGAAAAATATTCTATAACTTATAATCCAACTTTAATTCAAATGAAATTTTTACCATGTTCTAACTCTGACAATTACGCGAAGCCTTCAGAATGTTATTCGGACCCTAATTGTGCAAAAATGGGATTTAATGTTTTGCATCAAGACTGGTGTTATTGGGCTGAACAATTGGGAGTTAAACAACACCCTGAATGCTGGTTGTTAATTGCTAAATTGGAGAAAGATCCCCCAGGAAATACGGACCATGCAAAAAAAATTTTTGGGTACTTGGCAATGCGTAGAGGTTATTTTAGTCATCTTTATTGGGCAAAACTTCAGAATATTAAATTCATACCAATCCAAGATAAAGTTCAACCGGAAAGATTTATTCATTATAGGCCGAAAGATTGCTTTTTCAAACTATCGAATAAAATGTACGTCAATACTTTCATGATAGTTTTGTCTTGATGTTGACCTTCAAACTTAATCTATTTTATTCATTTAGTTACGCAGATTTGTTTCCATGTGTTGACTTTGATGAAGATGCGAACAAATTTCTAGAAAATTGTGGTGTTAAACAAGAACCAACTGCCTTGGATTTAGCAGAATATCTTATGTCATCTTGGAAATTATGGTCAAAACAGGATGATAAGGATCCATATATTAGTATCTTAAGAACGGTTTCGTATAGTAGCGAATTAATGAATTCTGTAATACTAGAAAAAATGAAAAAATATCCAATTTTGATAGGTTCAAAAAAGCAGAATAATTCTGGAAAAATGACTGAGAGCTATGATCTAGCTTACGCTAAAGACATTTTTATAAATGATAATAATAGATATCAAGAAATGTTTAAACCATTTACCTGTCCATTTGGTGGTTTATTGGAAGAATTTTATCAAGTGAGTACACTTCGAACGATAATGTGTTATTTTTGATATAGTAAGTTTATATGAAATTATAACTAACAATTTCAATCTCCTACTTTGTCAAGAAATTGGGATGTAAATCCCTTGATGCCAGCGTCAAAGTAGAGTCTAGGCATACGGGTAAAGAGAGGATTTCAAAAGTTTCTAAAAAAATACAACAGAGAATTATAGAGCGTCTACCTGGGTATTACTCTAGTATCATAAATGGTGATTTTAAGAATGATGAAACTTGGATACAAAATTTAGAAGTCAAAAAAGTTGATAAAATAGAAATGACTTATGAACTTATTACTACACATCAGAAAGAAACTGCTCAAGTTTCTGCTTGTATTTCAGAGAGTGGAAATCCATTTATTCTTTATATTACTAATGATAGTGATAATATTAATTATGCTGACATTGCAGCAGTCTTAGCCAAGCATATTCATCGAAAACCTGATAGGCAAAGTAGTATAAATTTATTTACTTATTTAACCTCTTCACTAGAGGATCTACGGCAACTTGGTTATCCTACTGAAAATATAAAAATTACTAATAACGTACCTGGATTATCTGTGGGAAAACCATTATTACCGGTTGCAGGACCATTATTTCCTGCAGCGGGACCAGTACCTAGGAATCTATCTAACGATGAATTAGAGAATAAATTAAATAATGGAATTATGTCTTGCAAATCAAATGATCAAAAGTATATCCCGCGAGATGAAACACCTGTAATTGAAACTACAGTTATTGAAAGTCATTATGGTAACGTAACATGCATTATGACATATTCTATACGAGTGCTACCGAGATAAAGTAGGGAAATCTTCAACACTGCGCAGAAATAATAATGTTGATGTGCATATGAAATCAGAACCTCAAAATTATAAGTCAAATTCATTGGAACCTTTGTTGGCTGGGTTGGAATTAACAAATTTTGCCTAAGATCAGTCAAAAATTTTTATTAATAAAGTTATTGGTATAGTTGGTTTGTATCGGTATTGTTTACAGAAATTCTGCGACAACTCGAATCGAAAATTTATCGATTCGCTCATCAACAATATTTTCAGTTGTTGCAGAATTTTGAAACAGTTACAATGCCAGATTAACTCTGATGATTTCCGGCCGGAATTTAGATGGCTGGAGTTAACGAATCCATCATGTTAATAATTCTGCTATAATGATAGCAATAGCTATGGATATGGCAATTAGTGTTAATACCAGCCCACATCCAACAAATATTGGAGATCCTTTGTAGAAATTTTTAAACAAAATGTCTGAGAATCGAGATTCTGTTTTCTTTCGGTTGCACCTTTTTTTTTATAATTTACTTATTATATATATATATTTATAATTTACTTATTATATTTTTTTAATACAGAATCATCATTAAAATATGTCAAGACTGTGAATTCGATTGAAATTCACGTTACGGAGAATTTAGATCCGTTTAATTTTTTAACTGCTACTATTGAGAAACAATTAAAGAGTTTCACTGGTATTCTCATTCGTGTTGCCGAAATTTTCAATCTTCAAAGGAACAAAATTCACGTATTTTACGATGACAATACAACAACAGTTGCCTTTAATCGTGGCGGTGTCCTATTTTTCAACTTAAAATATTATATTAAATTCAACCATTCCTCTAAAACTGCCATGATAACATGGTTCATGACATTTTGTCATGAATTAGCGCATAATTTGGTTTCACCGCACAATTCTGACTTTGTGGTAAGATTTTAAATTTATTTATTTATTATTTATTCTTTATTTTTATATTACTTCGCAAAATGAAATTCTGACTTTATTTCTTGTGTTTTTATTTTTAAGTATTTCTTACAATCATATGCGAAAAAATTTATTCCAAAGTTAATCGAAAAAATTGAATCTCGGCCATTTTCGACAATAATCAACGAAGCACATGCAGCTGAAATTGCTTCTTGGATTGATAAAAAAGCAGATACATATTCTGTAATAAATAATCCATATGAATTTAAATTGCTTATTCGCGGAAGCAAAGATGGATTTACCAAGGATTCATTTTGGAAGTTATGTTATAAGCAAATAAATCTTGTTGTGATTATAAAAGTCAAAGGAACAGATGAAATTCTTGGTGGATATAATCCTATTGGTTGGGATGGATCAAATTCAAGCTCAGATACTGCATATAAGTCTTGTAATGATAGTTTTATTTTTTCATTGAATGATGGTGCTGTTAAAAAATCTATTTTGAGTCGGGTGGAGAAACCATCGTATGCAATTTACGATCGTTCTTATTGGGGGCCATGTTTTGGAGGTCTTTTCATGTTGGATAATTTTGATCAATATAAGAATTGTTATTCCTGGAATACTACCTATTTTCCTTCATATAAACCAATTAGAGACTCATCTACATACAATAATGGGTATTCCTATTTTGCAGCGGAGGATTATGAAATATTTCAAATAATAAGTTTATAGTTCTTCATCGCCTAATAGTTTATAAGTTTCTTTGTGATAATGTAATTGTTACATAGATCAATTTTATAGACACACGAATATATTCAGCTAATATTCATACATTATTATTACTAGTGCATGGGTGGCGTTTTGCGCCACCTATTTTATATAGTATTTTTGATTATTGACTATTGTAAATTAGAGTTATCATAATTTTTATTATAATATAATTTATTGTGAAAATTCTATTACAAAAATTGCACATTATAGTGACACAGTATACGTATATACAGTATATAGTTAAATTTAGTTTATATTAGTTATTGTAATTATTACTTACACTTTTGCTACCCATCTAGTTGGTTTGCATTCTAGCCATTACGACCCAGAAATTTTGGGATTCTCTATAAAAAATGGTTAGGTTTCACATAGGTGAACTATCCATGAACTGGTCTATACTGTGCATGGGTACTAATATAGATTTTTGTATTGGATCTGGTTTCAAAAAATCAAAAATGAATCAGGCCCAGATTCAGATCCAAAGGCTCATAGATAGTCTATATTTAATGTTAGTGATATAGGCCGATGCTAAAACACTGAGTTGACCTAGCCAATCAAAACATCAGCCTGGTCAACTGGGCCAGCTAACCTTAACTAAGAATATTCAATCCTGTTTCAATTTATTTTTATTTTTCTTTACAAATATATTAAGTGAAAAAAATTACATTGATTAAAGATCCTGTATCAAATAAAATAATAATAGATATCAATAAGCTAATTATAAAAAAAAATTATCGCATAAGGCCGCTGACCTATTTTTTCAATTTTCAAATATATATGGGCTAGGTGCTGGAAAAAGGAACGAAATTGACAAAACAAAAGATCTTCAGAAAATCAATTTTTGTGTTATAAATCTTATAATAGATTATAAGAAAATACAAACTTTAAAGAGCTATACTGCAAAATTTTATTAACACAACTACTTTTGTGTCTTAAGTGAAAAAAGTTTCTAATCTTATTCTAAATTAATTTATGTAAAAAAATTTGGTTTGAAAAAATTGTCATTTTCGCTTCTTTTTTCAGCACCTAGCCCATATATATATATATATTTAAGTTCCAGTTGTGCCAATTGTTCTATTTTTGCTATTTAATTTTTTTCTATAAATTAATCCAGTGTCACTCGATAGAGACCTTATTTTTCTGGAATTTTTGATAGAACAGATAAAAAAAATTTGATTGCCGACCAAATTTTTTTGTTGCATGTTACAAAGAGAAAAATTAAATATGCATAGCCTTTAAATATGAACATGAGTCTATTAAATACTGTATATTTTAAAAAAAACTGGTAACCGTTGATTTTGAAATCACATGTAATGTAAAATGAAAAATTAACTCTGAATGGCCTAATAACTAAACGATTAGCACGAAAAAAACATTATTTGAGTCTTTGCTATGAAAATCATAATATAGAACATATGAATTAATGTCCTATAACATGATTTTAACATTTGTTTATATTATAGCTGTTTTCATTAATATCTTGTAGAAATTAGGAATTCAAAATAATTAGGGAAACACATTTCTAATGTTTACTATTAAACTTCCTGATTTCCATGAGTGTATAGAAATTTGTACTCCGAATCAGGTCGAACTAACCTGAAATTTCTAATTGGTCGGGTTCGAGTAGGGTTCGGGTTGAACATCAACCCGACCCGACTCAAAAATTATCTAATTTATAGATGTGCAAAAATAGCATTTTATGTTTTTTTTTTAGTACTAATTGCAAGTGCATATGTATTTTTAAAATAAAACCTCAAAAGATAGTCTAGTATACACTAATCAGATATCTTCAAATGATCGATACAAAATTGTCACTCAATTTTGATTGGTTACATAATTGTTTACTAATTTCTAGATTTTATAACTTTTGATTTTTTTAATTACAAAAATAGAAATTTTTAGAAAATATCCCACATGATGGTAAAATTAACCCAGGAACAATTTTTACTTAATAGGCTCTGTGCTTTCATTAGTAGAATTCTGAGTAAATTTTTTGGTAATTGTTTTTAGCCAATCAAAATCGAGAATGTTCTATGAAATTTTTTTGCGGTAGCTAGGGTTATTAAGAAAGCTAGATAAGTATAACGTGAAAATAACATTTTTAAAAAACTGTCAGTACATAACTTGAAATTTCGACTATTAAATGAAACCACTTTCTGCGCTCTAATATAAAAAATTACAATTTCTAACCTAACTTTAACATATATTTTTTACTTTAAAATATTACACATATTGAAATTAGTTTATTCATCGAAGAGATCTGATTGGTGCATATTTATTGATATCTCAATCTAATGAAATTAAAAATCCCCGGTAATAATCCTATATTATATACTTTTTCGAACATTGAACAAAAATATCTTAGCAATTACCTATCTAATTTTATCAAAGTTTGGAAAAACTTAACTGCTGACTTTGTTTTAATAATCGCCTAAATTTTTTTTTAACTTTGAACAATAATTTCTCGGCAGCAAAATTAGCAAAGTTTTTTTATATTAATTCCATGAATCTATAAGATAAAATAAAAATACTTTCATTGATTCTGAATATGCAACTGTAGTAGCCTGCTGAATTTATAAGCATACCACGCTTAGATTTGATTAGCCAACTTCGATAATTATTGTTACATAAATTATTAAACGTTTAAGAGCAAAAAGGGCGATTTGATTAATTTTTTAAATATATTAGTCCTAAAATTTCGAGACAGGTTAGGACAAGTTCGACTCAGGTTGAAGCTCTAACCTGAAAATTTTCAACCTAATCCGACCCAACCTGACCCAACCTGTTCAGAGCACTGTATAAATCATCATTCACACTTGAAAAGATATGAATAAATGTTTCTCGCACTAAATATAAATTAAAAAACTCCTATCATCAAAAGTTTATTGGAAAAATACCAAATAGCAACAAAATCATATATTCTTTCATGTATTTTTTTAGTGACAAAGAAATTTAACTATATATCTGGCCTGTATCACTATTTACAAAATTATAAACTGTATTTAATTTTGCTGTTTGTGCCATTTGGATCTCTGGGCTTGTATTATGTGGTCATGTGCTGGGCTTGGATCTATCCAGCCGAATGTGGGCTGAATTTGGATAAATATTTAGTATATATTTTTGATAGGTTGGATTTGGGCATAAAAATATCCACTCAGCCAGCCCACAGGAACCCTATTGTTAATCAGAAACACTCCAATACAACTAACTCAACCTTAATCACATGTTCTGGGCTGTTAATTCCAATACAAATAACTCAGCCTTAGCAACATTATATACATCTTTTACAATAAATTATAATAGAAATTACAACTGTTAATTCTAGTACAAATTGATACAAACTTAACCGCATACTGTAACAAACATACCGTGTGTTATGGCAGTAGTCATTGATTTTATTATAAAATTCTTTACAGTAAATCATAACGATAATAGAAATCATGACTATTAAAAAAATATGACGTAGTACATACGTTGAAAAAGTGTGACTAGATCGATTAAAGCTAAAGTTAACTAAAACTAAACTATACAATCTCTAATTTAATGCCCGAAGACCCTTAAGACTTCGAATTGGCAGGCGGAAAGAGGTGTGGAGAGACTTGGTCCGAGTCTCAAAGTCTTGTCGAGTCTTGCTGCAGCGTATTTGGCGGTTAAGATAAGTATACTCCCTAATTATACTTCTTATGTTGATTAATAGACTTGGGCCGGAAGTAATTATGGTATTTTTCTTTAATTCAAGGTTTTGGTAGGTTCCAAGCT